AAGCCCTATGCTCACTGATTTCCTACGTGTAAACAATACTGATATATGTGGAACAGTGAGAAGGAAACATATGCCAAGGTTCAGTGTAGGCAGTATTGAAGGTGAAGTGCAAGCGTTTCATGCTAATGACATCATGGCATTGACGTGGCATGACAAACGGGACGTGACATTGCTATCGACCATCCACAGAAATGAGATGGTACAAACAGACAGACTGAGCAGGTTCAACAAAGAACCTATTGTAAAACCAGCTGCTGTCGTGGACTATACGAACAATATGCGACTAGTTGACAAGTATGACATGATGATAGGGTTTGTTGACTGTGTGCGTAGGAGTCGCAAGTGGCACATAAAACTGTTTATTCACCTTGTAGACATTGCAGTGCTCAATGCATTCAATATGTACGAAATAAAGACTGGAAAACGACAACGTTTTGCAGATTTCCCTCTGAATCTCGTCAAACAGATAGCAAGAAACTATGGTACCACACCTGTACCTGCCCCTCAACAGCGACCTGTCACACCACAACCTGTCCCCCAACTACAGCCAGAGGGGGAAGTGCCAGACCGAATCACTCCTGTCACTATCTGGTACCAATACCACCTACCCAAAGGAAGAAGAATGCCCAGAAAAAGTGTATTGTGTGTGCTACCACCAAAAAACGACCCCAACAGCGGAAGGACACACGATTCATTTGTCACCAGTATGGGGTGGCACTCTGCATGAATCCATGCTTCATGGAGTATCATACAATTGTGGAGTACTAGAAACATAAGTGGGACATGTAAATACTTGTATATAGTTGTAGATAATAATGTGTGATTCAGCCAGGTGTGCAAAATCACCTGTCAGTGTGTACATGTGTGTTTATGACAATTTGATAAAAATTTTGTATGTAATAATGGTGTATAAAAAAAAATGGCATTGATATCAAATGATTTACTATGAAACATAATTATCTTCTTCTTCTTATGACCAGAGCTTTGATAAAATGGGTAAGGAAGAAGGATGGGTAAGGATAGAAATATTGGAAAAAGGTGGGAGGGGGGAGAGAGGTAGGATATAAAAGGTAAGTGGCCCAACCACTTTGGTGTAATTTAAAAAGTGTATTTGAAATGATAAGATATTCTTTAAAGGGTATAATACTAACCCATCAGAGTCACATAGATATAACAGGTATATAAGTACAGGACTCTGAATTGGTAGTAATTATACAAGTTGCAATTGCTTTTTTTTTTTGCGATTGCACAACGGATATCTATGCGACAATGAAGGCAATAATTTTCTGGCCAGTTTATAGAATTACGTGACAATGGCTTCTTACAGGTGGTGTCCAGCCATAGTAAATAGCATAATTTTTACATTAGATTGTTATAAAAGTGTTATATAAGATGTCTCCCTAATTGGGGGCAATGATTTTCTCAGTATACATAGAAGGGTTCTAGTGTCACCCAATCTTCTTCATCAGGGAGGTTGCTCAATATCATGGGTCGATGGTAATCATCTTTATGGATAAAACGACGGACCCTCTGTGGGAGAGTCATTCTTTGAGTCCTGTGAGGAGGAGTATTGATGATATAATCCGTGGTATTTACCACTTGTTGTAAAAGGAGAAACTTTCGTTTTTCCTTTTGGGCCACCCCGCCTCGGTGGGATACGGCCGGTGTGTTGAAAGAAAGAAAGATTTACCACTTGTATAGGATGTTCTCTATCTGGCATGTATAGTTCTTGCATTGTATAGAGTTGTTTCTTTTTTAGGGTGTCGAGGCATACATTTATGGCAGTAATATCTTGTTGTATGTGTAAATCTGCCATTTTAACTCTGTCTCTCCTCCTGGTATCGGTAATGAAGCGAAGAGCTCTATTCTGGACCCTTTGTAACCGTAGCATGTTGGTCTTTGTTGTTAATGACATTGGGACACAAGGATATTCGAGTATTGGTCTTATTATCATTTTATACAGATGTTTTTTGACATGTTGAGGGGCTTGATTGAATCGAAAGAGACTGCTAAGACTGGCTTTGGCTATGTTGATCTTTTTAGTTAAAATGAGATGTTGGGATGGAGCAGCCTGTCTATTTCATACCCCAAAAATCATGTTAGGGTTTCTAATGGCTACAGGTGTACCTCTGAGGGAGATACCCCCTTTATCTTCAATTGTTGATGCAAAACATCCTATCGTGCTAACAAGGACTTGTCAGGATTAGTCGTAATTCTTCCATTTCTTTTCCCAATTAGATGTTTCAACGAAGTTCAATATTCATTTTTTCTATGACTCTCTCATACTTGTATTTTCCCGTTACCGGAGTTGATGAGACGACATGATAACACCCATCTGCAAACTGTGTCACAACTGTATCATTAAACTCTGGTTGAGGAAGGTCTTCACATAAATGTTGAACAGAATTGGACCGAGACAAGAACCTTGTGGGACACCAGCTGTCGGTATAAAAGGCTCTGTCGACCTGCCATGGAAAGGTGGGAATGATTTTTCTTTGAGTTAAGAAATTATATATTAATCTGAGAAAAGTCCAGTTATGGTCTGGTAGGTCAATGAGTTTGTATATAAGGCCATTCATGCCATAAGCTATCAAAAGCTTTAGAACATCTCTGGGGGCAATTAAGGCAAGATTCCCCTGATGTTTTAGACTTGCTCCCAGTATCGAAAATAACTTTTATTGCATGATTGGTACCTCTATGTGTTCTAAAGCCAAATTGTTTTTCAGTGAAAAAAGTGATTAAACTCCATATAGTAGTTCAATCTGTTGGAAATGACTTCTCAAGAACCTTTCCAGTGACTTCAAGTAAAGATATAGGTCATAGTTCCCAGGTTGGTGATGTCTTTATTGGGCTTCCCAAAGAAAGATCATCCTAGCATCTTAAAAAACAACTGGAAAATGTCCTGAGGCCAAGATGGCATTAAAAAATTTCCCAAAGACTGTTTACAATTTCTGGGTAGGAACTTTATTTGTTTCATTGTTATTCCAGATAGGCCAGGGGCTCTATTTCGCATTCTTCCAATAACCTGACTCATCTCTAGTAATGTAATAGGTCTAGTAAGCGGGTGGGTATCTTCAAGAGTTAAAGTATCGATGGAAGGTAGTGGTTGTAGATCATCCAAGTTCTCATCTCTCCATTCATTTACATAATTATCATATCATGAAAACCAAGAAAATTAAAAAAAAAGTGAAAGATAACGGTAAATATGTTGAATTTCTGCAAGCAGCAGCGCTCCATGTTGCCGTCAGGTGATCGCCAAGTGCCAAGTTCGCGGCCTCATATCTCGGTAAGCACTGACCCTAAAAATTTTTTTATGCTAAAACACTAAAAAAATGTGCTCTTTTTCTCTATAAAACAAACCGATTTTTTTTTTTTTTTTTCAAAATATTCGGGGCGCTGTGCAGGTGGACGTATATATACGTTTGGACTGTTTAAGGGTTAAGGGTTAAATACAAAATGGGAAGTGACACAGTTACTTTTTGCTGATGATACTGTGCTTATGGGAGATTCTAAAGAAAAACTGTGAAGGTTAGTGGACAAATTTGGGTGTGTGTGTAAAGGTAGAAAGTTGAAATTGAACATAGAAAAGAGTAAGGTGGTGAGAGTATCAAATGATTTAGATAAAGAAAAATTGGATATCAAATTGGGGAGGAGGAGTATGGAAGAAGCGAATGTTTTCAGATATTTGGGAATTGACGTGTCAGCGGATGGATGTATGAAGGACAAGGTTAATCATAGAATTGTGAAGGAAAGGTGAGTGGTGCATTGGGGTATATGTGGAGGCAAAAATGTTATCTATGGAGGCAAAGAAGGGAATGTATGTAAGTATAAGTATACCAAACTCTTTATATGGGTGTGAAGCTTGGGGTTTTAAATGCTGCAGTGAGGAGGCGGTTGGAGGCAGTGGAGATGTCCTGTCTAAGGGCAATGTGTGGTGTAAATATTATGCAGAAAATTCAGAGTGTGGAAATTAGGAGAAGGTGTGAAGTTAATAAAAGTATTAGTCAGAGGGTTGAAGAGGGTGTGTTGAGGTGGTTTGGTCATTGAGAGAGAATGGATCAAAGTAGAATTACATGGAGAGCATATAAATTTGTAGGGGAAGGAAGGCAGGGTAGGGGGTCATCCTCAAAAATGTTGGAGGGAGGGGGTAAAGGAGGTGTTGTGGGTGAGGGGTTTGGACTTCCAGCATGCATGCGTGAGCGTGTTAGATAGGAGTGAATGGAGACAAACGGTATTTGGGACCTGATGATCTGTTGGAGTGTGAGCAGGGTAATATTTAGTGAAGGGATTCAGGGAATCCGGTTATTTTATATAACCAGACTTGAGTCCTGGAAACGGGAAGTACAATGCCTGCACTCTAAAGGAGGGTTTTGGGATATCGGCAGTTTGGAGGGATATATTGTGTATTTTTATACGCAAATACTTCTAAACTGTTGTATTCTGGGCACCTCTGCAAAAACAGTGATTATGTGTGAGTGAGGTGAAAGTGTTGAATGATGATGAAAGTATTTTCTTTTTTGGGGATTTTCTTTCTCTTTGGGTCACCCTGCCTCGGTGGGAGACGGCCAACTTGTTGAAAAAAAAAAATGACAATACTTTTATTATGTACCGTACAAGTCCCAGAACCAATTATGTGGGTAAAAGGGGTTAATTCAGTACAAACTTAAAACTAGCCATAAATGATCAGCAAATTAATTCTGCAGAGTAATACTTAACATCCTCTTTTATGGTTGTCCCCTCAATAACAAGTGTATTGCCTACCAAGGCACCACAGCTCAATTGAGGACAAGCCCACTAATGAACAAGATGCATGGTTAACACACACAAGTAGCACTTGAGCTTCACAGCCATGGCTACCCTAATGTAAGTCAGTATGGAAAATGGCATTATAGCATACAAACTCCCTACCATGAAAATGTGTCCTCAGAGGAGAAGATGGGAGCTTACGTTTCACTTTTGGTAATTTTGGCAATTAAAATGTCTTTTGGATAACTACTTACTAATTAGGAATGTAGACCTGCTTTAGCTTAGACTCTGCCTCCACCGCTTTTACTCTCTTCTGCTGTACATATCTATCAGTCGTTTTCCACATGTAGTAATACTCTATTATATTCTTTAAGGTCTTCCACGGTAGCTGTTGGAACATACATAAAAGCAAGTAAACATTTCACCTACTTACCAACAGAAATCACACATTACATTAAAGTTACGTGGATTACTAGGAAATACCCTTATAACACTTGACAGTTTAGCGAAAACTCTCTTAAAATATATGATTACTATTCAAACACACATTCATCGTATCCAAAAGACACCATTCCTATACTTACAAAATCTTGTCTGATATCATTAAAATCCTTTCCATATTTTTCAAGGGCTTCCTCAAACAAATTGGCTTCAGACGCCGACCATTCTTCCATCTCATCTCGACATAGTACTGGCCCAGTAGCAGGTATTAGAGAACAAAGTGCTCTGCTGATGTCGTAACTGTGCTTGTGAAGGGTGTCCATTGCGTGAAACTGCAAAAACATTTTTTCGGTGTTACAAGAGACATAACTTAATAAAGCAGCCCTAGTTAGCATGCTTCTACTTTCCAACTTTTTACTGAAGGTCTTCCTACAAATAGCTTTGATTATTTATGACTATTTGTCCCCCCCCCCCCATGTGCATGCATGGGGGGGGGGGGTTGTGCATATGACCCCTCATTTAAAAGCTAGCAAAAATATATCATTCAAACTGTGCTCAATATATTTCCCCCACACCCAACTCTTTCCCTTCTGGTTATTCTTTCTTAGTAATAACAACACTAGCCAGATTAGATATATATCTGGAGATACAATAAGCCCTCTGACAACAAGACTTCACAAAATGACATTTTGTTGCAACATAAATCAAAAGGTATAACCACCTGCCTGCCCTCTGAAGGAAGGGTGTTAATGTTGCAGTTTTATAACTGTAGTGTAAGAATGCCTCTGGCAAGACAGTGATGGAGTGAATGATGGTGAAGTTTTTCTTTTTCGGGCCACCCTACCTTGGTGGGAAATGGCCAATGTGTAAATAAAATAAAATATGTAATCACAAATATGGGTAGCACAAAAAATCTTTATACTGCACATCGTAAAACATTAATCAGATAAATAACAAAAATACTAGCATTACGTTCTCAATCTAAGTACAGCAGCAACAGCAATTCCCTTTCTCCCACTGTACCTGACAACATTTTAACTTTTTTTTTTTTAACACACTAGCAGTCTCCCACCAAGGTAGGGTGACCCAAAAAAGAAACACTTTCACCATCATTCACATTATCTACCCCTCACTGACAAGTCTGGTGCCAGGCTTTCCTAATGATTGCAGTTCAACCAGGCTCTTTTTGTTGGCAATTTGCTAGCCCACATATTCATCACAACTTTGCTAGTACAGTTCTTCTGAAAACTACAACTGTTTCTGAGGTAATATATTAAACTATAGTTCTTGACTAATCTCTACCAAACCAATACAATCTCTCTAAACATACATAAAGAATACATACTGTACATAAACTATCATACACTTGGTAAAAAGCTTAAGAAAGAAGTTGTACTTTTAATTCATTCTTACTGAACACTGATTCAGTCTTGCTCACTAGAAGCGATTTCTGTGAATGAAAGGAGTCCCACCATTTGAAAGAACAAGTGCTAGGAGGGTTCTCTGATGGAGTGATGGTAGCAAAAGAAACAAATGTAGACTGTTATGAGGCATATATTGCTAAGTGTGGAGGACCCCACCCCTGTCCAACTGCCTGCCTGGTAAGCCTGTTGGAATCTAAGGCAGAGACCTGTAAGGGATGGCCTATGTGCGAGTAGGTCACATGACTTAAGGCTTGGCCAGGGAGCCTGCCTATAAATGTTGCTAGGATATTGGTAATAAGGCACGTTTCCTTCCCAAATTGTAACAACCATGCACTAAAGACGAGGGCATCTGACAAGGTGAGAATGCAGTAGTATTTTAAAAACCAGAATGGCTACAACTTTACCTTTACAAGTCCGTTTTCCCAGTGGTATGAGGAATGACATACGTGTACCCCACACAATCCTAATAATTTTTAAACATTTTTCAATTATGAAACATGCACTGAAGATCATACCTTCATGACACAACCTGAATTTAATAACTTTTTTACACTTTCATTCTCAATTCCACATGTTTCAAACTATGAGGCAATGCCAGCTCTCTACATTGTTAGGACGTTTCATACACTGAAATGTGCTAATTACTGAATTTGATAAAGGGTTCTAGCTTAGCTGCTTCCAGAGCTTACAGTGTAAATTAGGGTCAGAATGACATCACATGCCCTCCACTCTAAAAATGGTCTTACGTCCCCCAGCTTATCATAAAGTGACCTTATGAAATGTGCTATATATTTGATAAGTGCGTTTTACTGTAGCTTGGTCCAGAAATGCTAACACTTCAAATTTAGTCACTTATGGAAAAAATTCGGTCGCGGGCCCTAACTCCGGGAAAAAAAGGAAAGGGGGTCCATGTACTAGTATTAGTATACAAGCACTGTGCTTATAGTGGACGAACTGTAAAGTATGTGCTACCTCCCCCCAAAAATGGTAAAAAATTGTATATAAAAAATAATTGATAATATTGTTTGAATTCAAGCATCTACAGTAACTTACCAACGTGACATCTCTAGAAGCAGCTGCTGCACTCATGTGTAGTGATGGCTGCTTGACTGAGGATGAGCAGTCTAGCGCACGCGCAAAAGTGCCTACTGATCGTGACATTACAAGAAATTGGTCTATTTGTCTATCTGTTAGGCCGTGCCCCGGGGTCCATATCAAACTTTCCAATTCTTCCAAATTACGCCCATCACCTTCACCTGGAAAAACATTTTTGCTAAATCAGCATACAGAATATAAATCACAGATCACAGATTTAAGTCCACTTGCTCTCTGAGCTTCCTCGCTTTACTGATACTGGTTCAATCAATGACTAGTGCTCTTGGCAAAGCAGGGTTAATATTCTCAATGTTCTGATGGTTAGCAGAAACGATTTCACACTTGGTAGGCTTTAAAGATAGGAGTAGCTCTTCCTATTTGAGTCATACATGCATGAATATGCATATCTACTTTCACTGACCAAGAGGACTTGAGTAAGAGCACGCCGCAGCCATGCTGGTGTGGGTTTCATCTGGATTAACCTGCATTTGTGGCCACAGTGGGGCCAGTGCTAACATTCCTATCATGTACAGAAATATACCTAGTTGGATGAATCTTCTTATGCTGGCTTGGTTCAGTGGTTAGCACACAGACCTGAGAGTTTTAAGACTCGCTTGCTTTGGGTTCAAGTCCCACCCATTCTGTAACTATACACATCTATTCTTCCCACCTCCTGGCCTTGTATCCAGCTAACTAGTTTCCCTGCATCCATTACTAAGTATTACTTTTCCCAAACTACAACAGTACATCAATCCATAAAAAACCACTCATTTCCATTCACTCTTGAACTAACATGCTCACACAAGCATGCTCAAAACCTCTTTCATCCCCCTCCCCTTCTCCTCCCAACCCTTTCTGCAATGAACCCTACTTTTCCTTCCTCCCTTTCACCCAAGAATTATAAACCTACCTGGTCATCTTATTTTGCTCCAAACTACCTCAATGAACCCACCTCAGCCCTGCATAATATTCACACCACATAATGCCCAGATCAGCCGGGCTGTGGTTCATACGTTGGACTATGTGCGGCCAGCAGTAACAACCTAGCTGATCAGGCCCTGATCCACCAGGAGGCCTGGTCATGGACTGGGCCGCAGGGGCGTTGATCCCCAGAATATCCTCCAGGTAGACTCCAATGCCTCCAGTCTCCTTGCTGTAATGTTCAACATCCAAGCCTCACATCCATACTTATTTTTTTAACAGGCTATGAGCTGTTATCCTACTTCAGCTCATATCAAAGCCTAGCCCTATCTAAGTTTCCCTTGTTTTCTGTAAAAGATATGTTCCAGGTTCAGAGCAGCTGTATTAAGTTCTATAAGGCCATTAGTATTTTAATATACAAAACAAATTTCAATTTTGCAACCACACCAATCACAGTGATCACACACACAAGAGATACCAAGAGAAACAGAACATTGCATAATAGTGAACTCACATAAAAAGCAAGGAAAATCTGTACTTTCAACAGGGAAACAAGAAGCCACCAACTGTAACTTTAGAGACAAGTGCAGAAAGAATGCCAGAATGCATTTCTTTACAGAGTGATTGGTTGATTACTGAAAAGGAATCCAAAAGAAGGTAGTGTGCACTACAATCACCAGGAATTCCAGAAACTACACAACAAAACACCTCCAGCATATTTCTGTTCCTGTTCCCACAAACAGACCATCACAAACAGATTACCTCTCACCCTAAATTTACCCACTTGCACTACTTGCCTTCTTTTAATAATGATGTAATGTCTGCTTGATATCTTGAACCAACCCTAATTTCACCTTTATCTGCTAATAACGTTTTCTGCTGAGGGTCGTATACCAAAGAGTAGAAGAATGTATCCTGGAAAAAAGAGGAATTTCATGAGGGTACCTTCATTTGACATAGTATAATACTGTAGTAGCAAAACTATGACAGTATTTGAGCATCACAACTCTCCAAAGTGACACAATTTTAAATTGCTGAAGTTTGATTCAAAGACATGTTGCTAACCCGTCGTAACTTAACAGCATTACAAAATTTTCTCCTAATTTTTTTTTGCGGAAAATACATTTAGTACTTTTTAAATACTCCCTTAACTGACTAATTCAACTATCTGCCCTTCTTAGCACAATGATGCCTTGGATTTGACCAGTAAACTACAGCTCAGTATTACAGATTCAAAAGATTACAGTCATGCAAGCTGGAAGATAGTATAGCTTTTGAACCCCAACATCATTCCAATTGTGACAGAAGACTGTTCTCAGATAATAACCTGGATCCACTTTATCCCTAACATGGTATTAACCCAAGGAATTAGGTTAGTCAGTTTTTTCTTTGTTTTGTTTTACCAAGCTATTTTTGGCAACCAGCATATTAAGCAGTTTGGAGAGATATATTGTGTATTTTTATACGTATATACTTCTAAACTGTTGTATCCTGGGCACCTTGGCAAAAACAGTGATTATGTGTGAGTGAGGTGAAAGTGTTGAATGATGATGAAAGTATTTTCTTTTTGGGGATTTTCTTTCTCTTTGAGTCACCCTACCTTGGTGGGAGATGGCCGACTTGTTGAAAAAAATAAAAATCTTTAAAGAGCCTCATTAGCTTCAATATATCTCTGAATATGCCAAAAGTACTCATATATGGGCACAAGATACTTTAACCCATATATAAACATAGGTAGTAGGTTGGTAAACAGCAACCACCCAGGGAAGTACTACCGTCCTGCCAGATGACTGTGAAACAGAAACCTGTAACTGTTTTGCATGATGGTAGGATTGCTGGTGTCTTTTTCTGTCTCATAAACACGCTAGATAACAGGGATATCTTGCTACTCCAACTTACACTTTGGTCACACTTCACAGACACGCACATGCAAATATATATACATACATCTAGGTTTTTCTCCTTTTTCTAAATAGCTCTTGTTCTTTATTTCTTCTATTGTCCATGGGGAAGTGGAAAAGAATCTTTCCTCCGTAAGCCATGCGTGTCGTATGAGGCGACTAAAATGCTGGGAGCAATAGGCTAGTAACCCCTTCTCCTGTAGACATTTACTAAAAAAGAGAAGAAAAACTTTATAAAACTGGGATGCTTGAATGTGCGTGGATGTAGTGCAGATGACAAGAAACAGATGATTGCTGATGTTATGAATGAAAAGAAGTTGGATGTCCTGGCCCTAAGCGAAACAAAGCTGAAGGGGGTAGGGGAGTTTCGGTGGGGGGAAATAAATGGGATTAAATCTGGAGTATCTGAGAGAGTTAGAGCAAAGGAAGGGGTAGCAGTAATGTTGAATGATCAGTTATGGAAGGAGAAAAGAGAATATGAATGTGTAAATACAAGAATTATGTGGATTAAAGTAAAGGTTGGATGCGAGAAGTGGGTCATAATAAGCGTGTATGCACCTGGAGAAGAGAGGAATGCAGAGGAGAGAGAGAGATTTTGGGAGATGTTATGTGAATGTATAGGAGCCTTTGAACCAAGTGAGAGAGTAATTGTGGTAGGGGACCTGAATGCTAAAGTAGGAGAAACTTTTAGAGAGGGTGTGGTAGGTAAGTTTGGGGTGCCAGGTGTAAATGATAATGAGAGCCCTTTGATTGAACTTTGTATAGAAAGGGGTTTTGTTATAGGTAATACATATTTTAAGAAAAAGAGGATAAATAAGTATACAAGATATGATGTAGGGTGAAATGACAGTAGTTTGTTGGATTATGTATTGGTAGATAAAAGACTGTTGAGTAGACTTCAGGATGTACATGTTTATAGAGGGGCCACAGATATATCAGATCACTTTCTAGTTGTAGCTACACTGAGAGTAAAAGGTAGATGGGATACAAGGAGAATAGAAGCATCAGGGAAGAGAGAGGTGAAGATTTATAAACTAAAAGAGGAGGCAGTTAGGGAAAGATATAAACAGCTATTGGAGGATAGATGGGCTAATGAGAGCATAGGCAATGGGGTCGAAGAGGTATAGGGTAGGTTTAAAAATATAGTGTTAGTGTTCAGCAGAAGTTTGTGGTTACAGGAAAGTGGGTGCAGGAGGGAAGAGGAGCGATTGGTGGAATGATGATGTAAAGAGAGTAGTAAGGGAGAAAAAGTTAGCATATGAGAGGTTTTTACAAAGTAGAAGTGATGCAAGGAGGGAAGAGTATATGGAGAAAAAGAGAGAGGTTAAGAGAGTGTTGAAGCAATGTAAAAAGAGAGCAAATGAGAGAGTGGGTGAGATGTTATCAACAAATTTTGTTGAAAATAAGAAAAAGTTTTGGAGTGAGATTAACAAGTTAAAGAAGCCTAGAGAACAAATGGATTTATCAGTTAAAAATAGGAGAGGAGAGTTATTAAATGGAGAGTTAGAGGTATTGGGAAGATGGAGGGAATATTTTGAGAAATTGTTAAATGTTGATGAAGATAGGGAAGCTGTGATTTCGTGTATAGGGCAAGGAGGAATAACATCTTGTAGGAGTGAGGAAGAGCCAGTTGTGAGTGTGGGGGAAGTTCGTGAGGCAGTAGGTAAAATGAAAGGGGGTAAGGCAGCCGGGATTGATGGGATAAAGATAGAAATGTTAAAAGCAGGTGAGGATATAGTTTTGGAGTGGTTGGTGCAATTATTTAATAAATGTATGGAAGAGGGTAAGGTACCTAGGGATTGACAGAGAGCATGCATAGTTCCTTTGTATAAAGGCAAAGGGGACAAAAGAGAGTGCAAAAATTATAGGGGGATAAGTCTGTTGAGTATACTTGGTAAAGTGTATGGTAGAGTTATTATTGAAAGAATTAAAAGTAAGACTGAGAATAGGACAGCAGGTGAACAAGAAGGCTTTAGGAAAGGTAGGGGGTGTGTGGACCAGGTGTTTACAGTGAAACATATAAGTGAACAGTATTTAGATAAGGCTAAAGAGATCTTTGTGGCATTTATGGATTTGGAAAAGGCATATGACAGGGTGGATACGGGGGCAATGTGACAGATGTTGCAGGTGTATGGTGTAGGAGGTAGGTTACTGAAAGCAGTGAAGAGTTTTTACGAGGATAGTGAGGCTCAAGTTAGAGTACATAGGAAAGAGGGAAATTATTTCCCAGTAAAAGTAGGCCTTAGACAAGGATGTGTGATGTCACCGTGGTTGTTTAATATATTTATAGATGGGGTTGTAAGAGAAGTAAATGCGAGGGTCTTGACAAGAGGCGTGGAGTTAAAAGATAAAGAATCACACATAAAGTGGGAGTTGTCACAGTTGCTCTTTGCTGATGAAACTGTGCTCTTGGGAGATTCTGAAGAGAAGTTGCAGAGATTGGTGGATGAATTTGGTAGGGTGTGCAAAAGAAGAAAATTAAAAGTGAATACAGGAAAGAGTAAGGTTATGAGGATAACAAAAATATTAGGTGATGAAAGATTGGATATCAGATTGGAGGGAGAGAGTATGGAGGAGGTGAATGTATTCAGATATTTGGGAGTGGACGTGTCAGCGGATGGGTCTATGAAGGATGAGGTGAATCATAGAATTGATGAGGGGAAAAGGGTGAGTGGTGCACTTAGGAGTCTGTGGAGACAAAGAACTTTGTCCTTGGAGGCAAAGAGGGGAATGTATGAGAGTATAGTTTTACCAACACTCTTATATGGGTGTGAAGCATGGGTGATGAATGTTGCAGCGAGGAGAAGGCTGGAGGCAGTGGAGGTCATGTCTGAGGGCAATGTGTGGTGTGAATATAATGCAGAGAATTCGTAGTTTGGAAGTTAGGAGGAGGTGCGGGATTACCAAAACTGTTGTCCAGAGGGCTGAGGAAGGGTTGTTGAGGTGGTTCGGACATGTAGAGAGAATGGAGCGAAACAGAATGACATCAAGAGTGTATCAGTCTGTAGTGGAAGGAAGGCGGGGTAGGGGTCGGCCTAGGAAAGGTTGGAGGGAGGGGGTAAAGGAGGTTTTGTGTGCGAGGGGCTTGGACTTCCAGCAGGCATGCGTGAGTGTGTTTGATAGGAGTGAATGGAGACGAATGGTTTTTAATACTTGACGTGCTGTTGGAGTATGAGCAAAGTAACATTTATGAAGGGGTTCAGGGAAACCGGCAGGCTGGACTTGAGTCCTGGAGATGGGAAGTACAGTGCCTGCACTCTGAAGGAGGGGTGTTAATGTTGCAGTTTAAAAACTGTAGTGTAAAGCACCCTTCTGGCAAGACAGTGATCGAGTGGATGATGGTGAAAGTTTTTCTTTTTCGAGCCACCCTGCCTTGGTGGGAATCGGCCAGTGTGATAAAAAAAAAAAAAAAAAAAATATAAACATCAATATACTATTTTATAATCAAAGTATATATTATGCCATATCCACTTTTACAAACAAACATGTGTACAAACCATGTTCAATTATCACATACTAATCAACAATACTGCCTACTAGTTACCTTTTGTAACTAACATATGAAATATTTATTCGCTCTGCTAATTTTTGTTAATTATCCGGTACTCTCCTTGTTTACCCACACCTAATTTTAATGGGTTTTAACAGCCATTCATGTTAGTCTCAGACTGACATCCTTGCTAACCAGCTGTTGCAGTTTGCAACCTGCAGGCGAGCCTAACCACTACTACATGCCTAATAATGAACAATCAGTATCATGTATTACATCTTTTCCTGAAAATTACACAATTTTTTCTTCATCACATTACAGTCCATGCTACCTAATACCATCTACTACCCTTCCTACACACTAAAATTAATGAAAATCAAATTTGTTAAATGCAATAATGTAATATACGAAATTACGTAACCCCTGTTCTTCACTCACTACAGCACTTCACAATATAAATCTATTTAACCCTTTCAGGGTTTCCGACTTACTAGTACAGCTTACGCACTAGGGTTATTGAAGTA